GTTTGTTCTACTAATACTTTTCGCTTCCTTCTGGACATGGTTTTTCGTCTCTTCGATTGCCGCATTGCAGCTTGGCCAATCTCTGAGATCATCTTAACAAGCATCTCGACGACATTCCTCACATCTCCCTTGAGGTTGCACTCGACACGGGTTCTCATTGTAACCGTGATGACAACTGCTAATACGTTCTTCCAGTGTCATTTTATCGAGGCAAGCGAATGGGTTGTTGCTGTCGTCGATTTCCGTATTCCAAAAACCGTGATCCGGTGTCCTTTTATCCTTGTCAGATGAGATTTCGATGATCTCCGGTTGTTTTTCGGTTCGATGATCTCTCAGCTGTTCAATCGCTCCATCTCGTATCTCACTTAAGAGTATCTGCTCATCTTGTGTCATCTTTTTCGGAGCGTCTAGTTCCTTTTCGAACTTCTTGTCGTCCCATACTTTGGCGACTTTTATTCCCAGTGCCTCTGGTACTGGGATAGACTTTGCCCACTCCATTCCCGGTACGAGAGATCGTTTCGATTCAGCAGCTGCTTCCTTTTGTATGGCTGCGATCTGCTCCATTGTTAACGGCGTTTCATCGTTCATTCCCAGTGCCTCTGGTACTGGGATAACATCTTTATCCGCTACTTTTTTGTCATCTTTCGTCGTTCCCTGTGCCTCTGGTACTGGGAGAACGACGTTTGCCCGTTCTTTCGGTTTAACTGATGACCTCCCCAATCGGGTCGCGATCTCTTTTTGGATGGCTGCCATTTGTTCAATTATCGACAGCTGAGCAGGTGAACCTCCCCTTCGTTGGTTCATCATCTGCTTTCCCGGTGCCTCTGGTACTGGGATAGCCTTTTGATCCGTTTTAGCTGCTTTTGCAAGTCCAGTGACCTTTCCAGCTTGTACTTTGACAGCTGATTTCGGCTCATCTTCAACTTCCTCCTCCCCATGATTATCGATCAGGACGAACTTTGTCGCCAAAAAATCATGTCCCAATAAGACTTGTACATCATCTGTCTTTGGTCTTACATAGAAGGAGTGTTGACTGGTTCGTTTTCGCAGTGTCACTGGTGCTACGCAGTAATGCGTCACGTTAAAGCCTGATGTTCCGCTGATTCCATTAATTCGCACCAATCGATCTGGTGGCAGCGGTAAGACGTGAAGTCCGTTCTTTTCGCAAAACGGTCGACTGATCAGGGATGTTTCCGCACCGGTATCCAACATCGCCAAGACCTTTATGTCGCCAATTTTCACCTCATGTGTGTACGCTTCGATCCTTTTCGGCAAATTATGCTTCGATCCATTTTGTACTTTGAGCGTACGAACGGTACATTTAACTGGGATAAGCGATACAGGTCCCGGATCCATATCAACTGCTGAAGAAGACACCTGCCCGTTCGCTAAGGTACTGTTCTTCTTCAGTATCGAGCTCAGATGATCGATCCTATGTGGGACATCAGTTCGGATATCGTAAAATTGTCTCTTCTTTCCATCTTTTAAGCTTTGTATCATCTCACACCCCTTTTCCTTTGCAGCTTTATCATCTTTAACGATCTTTTCAACTTCGTTTAGTTGCTCCTTCGCAACTTCTGAGTGATCTTTGATCACCTCAGAAATGGTCTGATACAGTGTCACCTCATCTGGTTTATCACGCAGATGCTCGATGATCTCATCTGTGATCTGGTCAGCCCGTTTCATCTCATCTTCTTCGCTATCGTTCAGCTGATCCGGTGATCTCTCGTATGTGACCATCTCATATCCCTTTTGGGTCATCCAATCGATCACCTTCGCAGATACCTCATTGTTCGTTTTGTTCGGATCAGTTTGCGAAGACATCCCATCTGTTCGAGCTGGCGACTTATCATTAGCATCTTTCTGTAGTGCTTCGGTTAAGTCCCGTGACCTTTCAGTGCGTTTCATGGAAAATCCACCATCTGGCAACTTCTGCAACGGAACTTTTTCTCCGTAATTTGGCGGTTTATCAGCTGAGGGAACATTTCGTTTCTGATCAGCAAGTGTCCTCTTATATTCCATCTCGTTGAACACTGGGGCGGGGTTCATTGACCCTTGGGCTGGTTTCCCAGTAACCAGCTCCTCCAGACGTTTTCTCTCGAATTGCGTTCGCAGCTGCTGCATTTTCCAGGAATCTTCTTTCGACATCCTCGCTTTCTGAGATGCTTTCGGCGAGACAGGTATCCACATGCCGTGGTTCCCATGAGGTCGATATGTCACCTTTTGCCAGTCTTGCATCCGCTGCAGCATCTCTGCATCATCCAATGAGTCATCGGAGATCTGTTGTACTTGTTCGCTCTCTTTCAGCTGCACTTTTCGCAGCGTCGGTTCCTTTGCCTGACCTGTTGCAACGATCTTTTGGTCGTCGCTTTTAGCGTTAGCACTTGCTCCACGATCTCTCGCTGGTGCTTTCCTTATAGGAAGTGGTTTTTCATCTTTGCTGCCCACTGTGGCGTTCTGTTCTAACCACCTTTGTTTTAGTACCGTATCATCTTCATCTTCCGGACAATTCCCGAACTTCGTTTTCATCTCCGCATTCTGTTTAAGTAGGAATTCTCGGAATCTGGAATGTTGATCATTCGTCTCTTTTTCTTCCAGTTTCTTCTTCAAGTTCGCCTTTCGAATGATCTCGTTACGTTGAGCGCGCCGTTCTTTTAGCTTTTCGGCACTACATTTTCCTTTATTTATCAACTGATCATCAGCAGTACCATTCTGCTGTGGTTTCGCAGTTCCATTCTGCGCAGGTGGTCCTTTCTTCACCTGTGGTGGCATCTTTTGAGCCATCTCACTCACAGTACCATTCTGTGGTGACTTCGCAGTAACATTCTGCGGAAGTGGCCTTTTGTCCACTTGTGATGGCATCTTATGAACCATCTCTTTCAGCTGATATGACGGCATCTTATTAGCCGTCTCGCCTACAGTCCGATTCTGTGGCTGTGGTACTTTGCCCACTGATGATGGCATCTTATTAGCCATCTCTTTTGCAGTCCGATTCTGCGTTCCTCCTTTATCCGGTGGTTTCGGTTGCGGGGGATCAGTAGGCTCACCGGCACCTACTGATCTTGGCCGTTTCCCTGATCCAGCACCTGCTGCCGCTGCTGGACTTGTTCATTTCTCTGGCCAGCGCCGTTCGCGCCGCCGCCGTCGTTATTATCGGCGCGTCCGTTGCCGCCGCCGTTCCGGTTGCCATATCCGCCGCGTCCATTGCCGCGACTTCTTCCGCGGAAGCCACCTCTTCCTCCGCCGTTATATCCGCCGCCGCCACCATTTCCATTGCCCTGGCCGGCGCCGCCACCGTTCCCTTGTTTGAACGCGGCCCATCTCGCAACCAGGTCGTAGCCGTTCGCTACTGCTTGGCGCCAGCCGCCTTGGGCTCGCAGCCGTTCCCACTCTCGGGTGGCGAACAAGTTCGGGTTCCGGTTTGGTGGCATACCAGCGAACATGCAGTTCTGTGCATCGTGGTTACCGAATCCACAATTTTGGCACAGCTGCACGCCCTGGGCGATCCATCCATCAATTTGACCGAATTTCCATTCCGTTCGGGAACCCTGCGGCTGCTGATAGTTGCCACGATTCTGTTGGTAGTTCCCTTGTCGGTTATTGGGCTGATAGTTGCCCTGCCCCTAATTTCGGTTAAAGTTTCCATTTCGTTGGCCACCATTCCAATTTCCGTTTCCGTTTCCATTTCCGTAGTTGGGCCTTCCTTGCATTTGGGGGCCCCCTCCCTTCAGGGGATTCGGCATAACATTTGCCAGGGCCATTGGCCTTGCCTGCGCCTGCGCTTGTATCGCAGCGACCATGGCATATGAGATCGGCTGTCCGGTTTGACTATCGATGAAAGTCATCTCCTTGCGAGTTGGGGATGGCGATCTCGTCTGATAATCCACTGGAGACGGTGTGGCTGCATATTGCCTCTGTGCCATCTCGACCTGTCCCGAGCGGATGGTCACGTAATCCGGTTGATTACGTTGACCTTCGACCACCTTGTATTTATCTTCGCCAGCTGCCCATGATCTGAAGAAGTCCTTGATCTCCGTTGGCGTTCTGAACCCCTTCGTTTTCAGCGCCTTATATAGATCATTATCGACTCTGCATCCGTCGATGAGGAATGCAACTGCTTGCAATTCGGTGATGGCTTTCTTAGCCTTGAACTTCATGATCGCTTGGTAAAACTGTTCAAGCGTCTCTTTTCCAGGTTTGAATTTCCTGTTCATGGCTTCACGTAGGCCAAGGACTTCCTCGTTTCGATCTCCAAACTCATCTTTGAACTTGTTCAGCCATTCTGTAACTGTGTATACTTCTTCTTCGGCTTCTTCAATATCCCTTTCGCTATCGAACCAGATCTTCGCTGGTCCTCTAACGGCGCTGGCGATATCGATGAGTATCTGATCGTCAGTTAAATCATATGTCCGCTGTGTTTCTTTAACCAGCCGGATCCATCCGCCTACCGCATCTCGGTTACCATCAAAGGTCGTAAGATCGGTTTTACGGCCCATGTTCCTGATGGATCTGTTAAATTCCCGTTGCCCTCGATCTTCATTTCGATCGTCTCGTTGGTTGCGTTCGTTTCTATCATTTCGGTCGTTTCGGTGTCCTCCGAAATATCTGCCATCATGTTCGTGTCGGGGAGATCGTGCATCTTGGTTGGCACTATCTTTAACTACCGTTTCGATGGGCTGTTGGAACTGTGAGGGGTCATCGAAGCTCGAGTGGTGTTGGTGACTGCCCGACGGGTTTCTTTTATCCGAAGTTTCCCCATCTTTTTCCGCTTTGAAACCTCCTGTGCCGCCGCCCGTTCGTAGCGGCATCTCAAAGTGGAAGCTCCCGCCCGCTTCTTGTGCCTTACTGTAGCTAGGCGGGGGCGTATCAGCCGTATTCCTTTTTCCACTTCCTGCTTGCAGAATTAGCTCTTCCCTGTGTTTATTTGTCACTTTCAGGCCCTTGTTCTCGTCTTCGAGACGTTTAATCCTGATGTTGAGCTACTCGTTTTCCGTTTGCAGCTAATCTCGCTCCTGCTTGAGCATATGGGCGAAATTCTGCCGCTGAATCGTCTCCGCATTTAACTCCTTTTCGTCTGTCTCTCTCGCTTTATTCTGGTCGATTAGCTGATTCATTTGCTGTTCCAGTTGAGCATACGCATCAGCTGCCGATTTCAGATGAGTTCTCGATCGGGTGACTTCATCTTGGTGAGTCATCACCGTTTGCGTCATATCGACCAGCTCCGTGTTGAGCTTTATGTTCTCGTCTGTTAGCTCACGGATCTTTTTCTGATGTTCTTTGCTCTCCACTTCGACTTTTGTCACCTTCGTATCTAGTCGTCGTGCTTCATCTTCCCATCTTTGGCCCCATTCGGCCGCCTTCTCGCCAGCTTCTTTGAGCTGTGCGTTCTCCTCAGTGACCTGCCTGATCTCATCTTTTAGTCGTTGTCCTTCGGTAGCTAAAAGATCGCGCAGATCATGTGCCACTTTAACGGCATCATCAGCTCGTTTCTGATGATCTGCCGATTCTTTTTGGAGAGTTTCGATATTCTCATCTTTGAGCTTCAGGTCATCCCTGAGCTTGAATATATCCTTGTTCACCGCTGTCAATCGTTTAGTCGCTTCCGCTAGTTTGTTTGCATACTCATCTCGCTTCGCTTCAGCTTCATCTGCCTTTTTGCGAAGTTCATCGCACTGATCCTTCAATTCGGCTATGTGCCGTGACCTTTCAGCTGTCTCTTCGGACATGCTCTCGTTAAGTTCGTTCACAGCTATGTAGCCTTCCATCTCCCTATCATCGGCTATTTTCACCGACTCTTCCGCGATCTGTACTTGGCGTTGATATCGAACTTTCCACTCTTCCGCCGTATTCTCAAGGACAGCCTGTTGCTGTTCCAGTTCGTATATACGCGTCTGTAGCGATCCCACTTTATTCTGATATTCTTGTTTCTTCTTAATGACTTGAGCTTCCTTTTCTTCCAATGAAGTCTCAAGTTCTCTGACTCGTCGTTTCAGGCTGGAAGTGGGGCTGTTCGGAGATGGGGATCGTACATTGACGATCTTTCCCGTCTGATTCCTTTCAATCAGACTTTCGGGGATGTCCTCAAAAGGTGTCAATCCCTGAGCTCGATCAGCTTCCTTCATCGCGGTTTTGAATGACATATTCAATGTCATCTCATCTTCAGTGAAGTATGATTCTTCATTTCCGCGATTAGACGTCATCTCATCAGATGCCATTGGACTCTCGAAGATGTCCTCAGTTGTTGTTTCATCTCCAAGTGTGAGATCATCTATCCTAAGTTCGTTGAGGTCATCTGATGTGATCTTTAGCTGCTCGGTGAGATCGTTTTTAACCAGGTTCTCCTTCTTATCCTGGTCGGTTATGTCGTTTTGCGATGTCAGATCCATCTCTGCAGCTCGTTCCGAGCTCGTTCCTTCTTTGGTGACCTCCTGGTTCACCTCGTTGTTTCCCGCCGCAGACGCGGGAGATCGTTTCAGATCATCACTGGAGCTCTCCTGAGCTGACACTGCTCCGAGTGCCTTCTGATATGTCGCTTCCGACCCACGTGAATCTTTCTTCACGGGGACTTTCGGTGCTCGAGTGTTTCGATCATGTCCAACTGGACGCGAGTACGGGTACAAGTCTTTTTTGTACGGGTTATGTGCGCCTTGCTGTGACCCGTGAGAGCTACGGCTCCCCTGACTACTATTCGATGTCGGTTCGATGATCTCTTTGTCCATGGTGATCGGATAACTGAGACGCACCTGTTGGTTTTGCTCAGACACACGTTATATGAGATCGTTTTAATTCCCTGAGATCACTTTTTAGCTGATCTGATTCGATTCAAGTTCGTTTTTAAAGGTCACTTTTTTGATGAAAAGATCGAGAGGTTTGCCTCAGAAATGATCTCGTTCTGCTGCTAATATCAATAAGACTGCTAAAAAGATCGTTTTAAGTTCGGATCAAGTTAAAATAGATGATCTCAGGTCATCTATAAAGGTCACTATCTGATCTGATCTGATCTCAAAGGTCACTGATGATCTCGAGATGATCGATCTCCAAGATGGTCACTTTTCCGTCAACTCAGTTCAATTAAAACTAACTTCTTTTAGCTAATTTTAGATCGTTTCCGATGAAAAGAGATCGATCTCACTGCTGGGAGATCGTTAGGAGATCGTTTCAGATCGTTTTTACCGTTGAAAATTTTGACCAATCAGAGCTCGTTTAACTGACCAATCACGTGTGCCTGTTAAAATTTTCTGACCGGCCTGACGTCACAGGTCGACGGCCAGACTCGCGCGCCGTGTGCAAAAGCTACGCCTACATCTAGCTCAGCTCAATACGGACCAATGAAAATTGCGCTTTTTACGCCTCAACCAGTCCAATAATTAATAACGTTTTTTACCTGTCTACCGTTCCGATCCCGCAAAAAGATGATCCAGATGATGGAGATGATCCAGATGATCTTCTCCAAACTCCGATCCCGCGCAGCCGTATTCCGCATGGTTTTGGCGCCTTCCTGTCCGACCTAGTCTGCCTTCTGCTGGGCTTGTCAGGCCTACCAGCAGGTCGCTCTACAACCAGTTTGATGGAGCGCGTAAACTGATCTCTTGGCACCTCCTTCGGTGCTGCCAACTCGTGGCTTCTCGGCTCTTGTGCCCGACAGCCTTGACCCCAACAAGAGGTGCTCGCTGCCTAGCAGAGGAAACAGTACAAGTTCTCCGACAGGAGAGGTCTTGCACCGCAGCCTTCTGCCGTCTGAATCGATGTGCACGACGAGTTCTCCTACAGGAGACTCTCTAGTCAGTGCTGCCTTTAGAGTTGATAATCCGATGAGTGCGCCTTGCTTCAGATGAGGAAAACCAGTGCCTTACTGGTGAAATGAGATCAATGAAATCAAGATGATCCAGATCAATATGGCCGTTCGCCAAACAGATGATCGTGGCCGTTCGCCAACGGGTGAAAAACTCAGAAACCGTCTGTTCACGGCTCTGCTACCATATAACCGTGGACCAAGAATGAGTCCAGGACGGAAGCCCAGACTGACAGGACTCCGTGTAGTGTAGAACGTGACGTGTTAGAGGAAGAAATGCACAACGCACGATATCCAGTCTACGTTATACACTTTATTAACGTTCTCTATCGTGAAAACCAACACTCTGACATTCAGTCAACTCAGAGAGCCAAATTCCACCTGCTCTCGACAACTCTAATGCACTGCGCAGCAGTGAACACAATGAACGGCAGTAGCCGACCAATCAGAGAAGCGCTGCGTCACAGACGGCAATTCCCCACGGAGTAGTGCAACGAAGCACTCCCGTAGCGCCAGTAGCGTCACGCAGGTGGACGCAAGGGAGCCATCGCCTCACAGCACAATTAGATAGGAACTTCCGGGTGCAAAATCGCGCTCAAGATGGAAGCCATACTTCAGCAAGAACAAATAGCTGACAAAGCGTCAGCATTCAGCACCGTGACGAAGTCTGCAACGAAAGCGGATGCCCGAAACGGTTCGGCCCGTCGCTCAAAAGCCGCTTAATGAATATCCGCGGACAAAACAAACCGTCTTTGTAAAGGGCGTTTGATTAGTTCTGACAAGTTACATTCTTGTATACTACGGGTTCGCAACACACTGTGCTGAGCGCGCCTAAAATTACAACGTTTGCAAACTGCAATCGTCTTGACTGATATTATGAGCACATTCAGCCAGCTTTGACATTATCTTTTGGCTTCTGCATAATTTTAAAACCGTACTACCAGTTACTTGCATACTTGCAGTTATTTTCGGAGAGGAGCTTGTCTGACAAATAGTCCATGGATAGCAAGCTGGACAACAGTTCAACCGGCCGGCCGGAATGTTCAACAGCGACGAAGAAGGAAGACTTCGCTCTTGTTGTGGAGGTTCGCGGACGCGATGGAGCGTTCCAGTGTGGGCGTTTAGTAGCAGCTTCCAAGAGTGGCGGACTGCTGGTGGATTTTCTATGCCCAGGCCGACGGAACGAGTGGGTTCCGTTTGCCGAAGCCTTCTTACCTCAAGCTGATTTTTCTGGTCCATATGTATTTTACCAGCCCAACGGATTCTACGGCAATGGTGGTAATTTGAAAACAGTGCGGGATATTGTGGAATATCAAATAGACAAAATACTGGCCAAGTAAAGCAAGACAAGTCAGAAATGAACTCTTGTTGCGGAATGTAGGGTACGCGGATCCCGTGGAGGTACTGATGCAGCACAGTCCCTCGGATCCGTGGACATGGTATCCCGCCATCACGGTGTATGACTGGAATACATTCGGCTGGGTTTCTATCCAGCTGCCTGGTGGCGACATCCGAACCATCGTTCCACGGGATCGGATTCGTTGCCCGACGGAGCGATATTGGTTGGCCCGCGGCCTAGTGGTCACCTATGACTACATGAAAAGCTTAAAGCAGTTTTATGTAAGAAACCCTCGTCGGCATAAAATAGTCGGATAAGACATAAATGACTGCACCGTTACAGGCCAAATCCGTGCTCCGGCCTGTTCCACCCGCGAAATGCAGCCCTCCGAGAGTGACAGCACACACGAAGAAACGAAGCCGTGGAAAACCCTGGAAGACGGTCTTGGTCTGCGGCGGCCGCTCAGCGTCTCCGGAGCGCGCGGTCCTTCTACCGACGCCGGCCCGTGATAGTTGCGACGCACTCCGCATTTTGCCCGTAGAAATTCTGACGGAGACCTTCCAGTGTCTGCCCACCGTGGAGCAGTGCCGGCTGCGGACGGTGTGTATCGGCTGGAACGGGCTCCTCACATCGGCCGCTGTCAAACGTCTGCTGCACATCCAGTTCCCCTCGGAAGCCAATTTAAATTCTTTTTATCGTCTTCCCGCGGGCAATGTTTACGTCGCCGCGGCCTGCGCCCTTCGCTGCTGGAGCAATCGCGCCGTGGCCATTGTCGGCACGCCCAGAATTGAGGCGTCCAGGGAGAAACTCGATCTGCGGTACTGGTCTTTATGTGATGGACGTCTTCTGCAGCAGATCATGCCGGGCGGAGCCGAGGCATTCCCGGGAATTCTGATCCTGAAGGACATTGACTGCTCGTTCATGCCGCGTGTTTGCGACCGGGATTACATTGCGGTTCTCCACACGGTCTTCGACTCGCTAGCGGCGATTTGCCGTACGCTGGCCGTGAAGAACTTTACGTGCACGGTCCAGCAAGTGTATTACGATGGCGACGTGCCGATCACCATCCGTATCCCGTTCGGACGGATGCGCAACGAGCGACGTCTAACTGTCGCGGACTGGTGGGACATGATTGAACAAGCCTGTCCGCTGCTGGACAGTCAGCAAAGGGATGCGGTATCCACGGCGCTCCAACAACGAGATTTGGATCATTACTGGCTAACCCAGCAGCTAACTTTGGTAATGCTAATATGTAACTGATGGATTTTGTATAAATAAGTTATTCATTTAGTAAGAACATGGCATTATTGATTTTTTAAAATTATTTCGGTAAAAGATACACATTCAGCACTTCTAGCAATTTAAAAAAAAAAACGTCTAAATGAATGTTAAAATGAATACGGTTTTGACGCTTTACAGGTTGCCCGTAGACGACAGTGTAATGATCCGCGGAAGAGCGTCACGTATCTGAAGCCGTTTCCCAGGGGAGATAATCCGCTGGGGTCCGTCGATGTCAACCAGCTAACGCGCTTGGCGCAGTATCTGATGCTGTGTCACGTCAACGAAACTACAATGGACTGTCAAATAGTTTGGCCTGACCATTAAGTATCTCCTCTTCCACATGCTTTCCATTTCAGTTCATTTGTGCGATACGGTGCGCATTTGCGGCCAAACGTTTTGACTGTATAACAGAAATCACGTTGTAACTTTTTTTTGCACCCGCATTTTGCAGGCACTGCATGATGGAGGCGTAGCAGCGTTTCATAATAAAGTACGGGAACAGTACAGTAAATTTACCGTGATTACTGGCTCAACCAAGTTGTTCCACTGAGTCTGTGGGCTACCGGTCACTTCGGCCGTTTTCATTTCGGCCGCGTTCATTTCGGCCAAAGTTTTTCGGCCGCCATTCACTTCGGCCGCCAATCACTTCGGCCGTCACTCAGTTCGGCCGCCGATCACTTCGGCCACAGTACATTTCGGCCGTAGCTAATTTTGGATAGATTTAAGCGAAAACGTTACTTTCGATATAAAATGTGTCGAAAACTTAAATCCTAAAAAGGGTTAAAAAATGACCTTGCATTAACAATTTGCCATCCCATCGTGCAACTTTTAAAAATTAAGCAAAATTGAGAAAACTTTATCACCAGCATTTAATACCCAACTCAATATACCGGTAGCAGACATAAGGCGAAACCTTTCGAAAAAGCTTAAAACGACAAATGATCCGCATCACCTTAAGAAGACTGAGAAAACATGGACGATCGCAAGAAGGCAACCGTCACGAGGGCGAAGGGTAAAAAACCCACACAAACCCAAGAAACCTAAGAATACCTAAAAATAAAAAAGAAAACCTAAAATACCTAAAAAAACCAAACAAACCTAAAAAACCTAAGAAACCTAAGAAAACCTAAGAAACCTAAGAAAACGGCCGCACCGTACCAAAGCCGAAATGAGCGGTGGCCGAAGTTAGTGCCGGCCGAAGTGAGCCTCGGCCGAAATGAACGTTGGGCGAAGTGATCATGTGCGGCCGAAATGTAACGCGGCCGAAGTGATCGGACGCGGATCGAATGAGGCCTACCGTCCAGAGG